GGCTGAACTGATGGTGCAGGTGCTGGCTGAACTGATGGTGCAGGTGCTTGTTGAACTGATGGTGTAGGTGCTGGCTGAACTGATGAAGGCACCACAGGAACAGGAAGAGGAACAGATTGTGTGTTCTCCACCCCAAAACGCTCCCCCTGTGGAGAACCACTCGAGAAGAAGAATGTGGATTCAGAAAAGGTAACATCYATAGTGACAAATCTGCTCCTCGACACTGGATCATAACAGCAATACCCCTTTTGGTTTTGTGCATACCCAAGGTAAACACATTTCTTTGCCTTAGGATCAAATTTCTTGCGATGAGGGCCAAGAATGTGAACAAAAGAAACACAGCCAAAAACCCTCAGAGGTATATGAAATATCTCTCCATCTGGAAAAAGTAGGCAAAATGGCACCTTAAACCCCAAAGTCCGTGAAGGAACACGGTTAATCACATGTACGGCTGTAAGAACTGCATCTCCCCAGAACTGCATAGGGACTGAAGCGCGCACCATAAGACTCCTTCCCACCTCTACAATGTGTCTATTTTTCCTCTCAGCAACTCCATTCTGTTGCGGTGTATATGCACAACTGCTCTAATGAACTACACTATGTTCTAAGAGATACGTGGTTAGATCCTTCTCAAAATACTCTCTGGCATTATCTCATCTAAAAACCTTAGTTCTCACTCCAAATTGTGTGAGAACCATTTGGTGGAATTGTCGTACCAAATTAGGAACCTCATCATGTGATTTCATCAAATATAGCCAAGAATATCGTGTATAATCATCCACAAACAAAAGAAAGTAACGGAATCCTCCCATTGGACAGGATTTGATAAGGCCCCCATACATCAGTGTGAACAATATTAAAGGCAACAGTACTTCTTCTATTACTTGGTTTAAAAGACTGTCTACAATGCTTTCCTAACTGACAACTCTCACACTCCAAATTAGATAATTGAACAGACTCAAACAGCTTTGGGAAACGACATTTCAAAGAATTAAAAGAAAGATGTCCCAAGCGGTTGTGCCAAAGCATAATCTGGTTCACTGACTCTGACCAACTACTACTGCTATTGCTAACATGATGGCCCTGATGTCTCGGAATCTCATCCAGAAGRTAGAYTCCATTCACCTCACGWCCACTCCCAATCATCTTCTTTGACTCCAGATCCTGCAAAACACAATTACCAGGAAGAAAGGTCACAAAACAATTCAAATTTTTTGTCAAAGAACTAATAG